AAGATTGAAAGAAATGTAAGAGAGAAGTGAAGAGAAAGAGAAGGAAATGATGAAAAAGAAGGATGAGAAATTTACCTATAAACATTTCCCAGTTTCCCATTTTCAATCACTTAAGGCGAAAACTTCAAGACGAATGGAAAGGATCAAGTAATTATGATTGATTATTCCATAATTACTGTAATTATTATCGTTGTTGCCATTGTTATTTGCTCTTGGTGGTGTTGTTGTTGTTGTTGTTGCTGTTTATAATACTATATTATTATTAATATTATTATTTATTATTATTATTTATTATTATTATTAATTATTATTGTTAATTATTAAGTAATATTAATTATTATTATTATTATTAATTAATTATTATTTTGTGGTTCATTATTTGTTAGTCATTATTTCATATTTATTATTATTTTTTTTAATTAATATTCTTAATTGCAAATTATTATTATTATTCACAATTAAAACAAAAATATCAAATCAAACTATAATTCTCATAGCATACATTATATGATATAACTATAATTTTCAAATGTTATTTACAAATTTTTTATCCATCCCTCTCCACAAATATATTTATTATTTATAATTTTGCTATATAATATTTTGAAATATTTTAGTTTTTAGGTTTTTTTGAAATTGCTCAAAAAGCAATCAATTTTTTTTATCCTAAAAAAATAATCAGATAAAAAGAAAAGAAAATGAAAAATGAGAAATTTCAATGATAAAAATTTGGCCATGCCATGCCATGCGATACATTCTTTATTTAACTTCTCATTCTTAACAATTTTCACGGCTTTCAATTCCCATTGGAACCATTTCAAATTTCTTCACACAAACTGTTTATTGAAATTTGTTTGAAATTTTTGAAAAAAAATTTTTCCCTCCATTCATTTTCTCTTGCATCATTTAAATACGATGAAAATGAAATATTAGAAATGATAATTAGTATTATTTAAAATTGATGAATGAATAAATATGATTTTGATATGATATGATATGATATGAGTGATATCTATCATATGTAAAATTGATGAATGAGCGAATATGATTTGATATGATATGATATGATATGATTTCGTTTTAAATTTTCTTTTTGTTTTTTTTGATATGAAATTTAAAAGAAATAATATTTTAGAGAGAAATCGATTTGGTTGTTACAAATGACGAAAAAGTATTTCCTACATTTGCAGCAAAATTCTCTTCGTCATTTCTTCTATCTTTTTTCAATTTTCCTTTTTTTTTCTTTCCCTCTTTTTCCAATCTGTAAATTACATTTAGTAATATTTTTCAAAAACTTTCAACCACAATTCTTCCTCCTCTCTAATCTTTTTCAATCGATTTAAAAATTAAGCTTACTTTCAATATTGAAGCATATATTTTGTTATTTGTAATTCGTTGTGTTGCTAATTGATAAAATCTATTTACTACGAAATATTATTACACTGATTTCTTTTTTTCCTTCCATTTTATTTATTCCTTCGTATTTATTTATTTATTTATTCCTTTTTTATTCATTTATTTATTTATTCCTTCTTATTTATTTATTCCTTCTTATTTATTTATTTACCCTTTCTTATTTATTTATTTCATTTATTATTCCCTCTTATTTGTTTATTTATTTCATTCATTATTTCTTCTTATTTATTTATTTATTCCTTCTCTTTGCATACTATATAAATATGCATAAAAGAAGTAAAAACTATAATAATTATTACTTATTGTTATTAAATTTATTTATTATTAATATAATTGCTATATCAATCATTAATTTTTTTGTTTACTATTTATTCCAAAATAGTTAATTTTCTTAAAATATTTTTTCAAATTTTACTTTCATATTTATTACGTTACGTACAAATGCTCGTATATTATTTGTTTAAAAGAAATTTTGAAAGATCGGATAGAAATTGGTTGAAATTGTTAAACTGTTAAATGTACTGGGAAATTAATTAGTGCAAAAATAAGCAAACGATAATTGCCAATAAGAGGAAATGAATAAGTGTGTTGAGAATAAGATATGATAATAATTTCAAATCCTTTTCATTCTCTCTTTTCCTTTCTTTTCTTTTTGCAAAAAATTTCAAAAACTTTAATTTCAAATATTTGAAATGCTTCTCTTCTTTTTCCGATAAAAAAAATTCTTGCGACGCGAAAGAAAAAAAATTTGCGATGCGAAAGAAAAAAAATTTGCGATGCGAAAGAAAAAAATTTTGTGATAGTCCTTGATTAGTTAAGAAAAAAATTTTGCGATGCGAAAGAAAAAATTCTTGCGATGCGAAAGAAAAAAATCTTGCGACGCAAAAGTTGAACTTTTTTGCGAGTTATACAAATTAATCAAGGATTAACAATATTTTGTAATTTCTAATATTCGAAAATAATTCAAAATTTTCATGTAAAAATTATATTCAATTATCTCTCCGTGTAATTTAATATTATTTTATTTCAAATTTAATTCTTTTCATTTCATTTCATTTTAAATTAATTTCCATTCATTCATTACTATATTAAATTCTATTAATTCGCTCTCTCTTAATTTAATCGGAATTTCTTTTTTTCCTTTGGAAAAACTAAAAACAAATATCATTCGAAATAATATAATGATATAAAAGAAACAAATTAATAAAATGATATCATAATTAATAAATGTGATCATAATTAATTGATTAGAAATTATAAATATCAAATGATATTTTGCTATTTGCATTTCGCGACGAATACAATATAATAATGAAAATTGAAGTTTTCTGAAGTATTTACATATATATATATATATAAATACTCAATGCCCACCTATATCGTTATGCCTCTTAAATGCAAACGATGTGTGAAGTAAATGATGCTGTCGTGAAAATAGAAGCATTTCGTTTTAATTTCTGCTCATTTCATTTTCAACTCTTTCAACGATCTTCACATCTTCTCATTTCTACTTCTTCATCTACTTCTTTTTTTCTCTTTGTTTACTATTTATTTTTCAACTGAAATGTTTTCATCATTTCATTTTTTGATCGGATCATTCATATGAAAGAAAATTAAAGTTTCCTTTCATTTTTCTTTCTTGCATAAAAATTTTTGAAATGAATTAAATTCAAAAATATTATAATTAAAGATATTATATTATTACTGTTATTATTATTATTATTATTATTATTATTAATTATTATTAATTATTATTATTATATATTCAATAGTTAATCTCATTCTATTTCATTAATATTAAATTAAATTCGAAAATGTAATAAAGATGTTATAAATAAAGATATTATATTATTATACATTTGATAGTTAATCTCATTGTATTTCATTAATGTTATAAATTGTTAATAATATTAATAATAATAATTATCACTAATTTAAAAAGATTATTAAAAATATTATATTATATTTTGATATTTTATTATTTTGTTGAAGGAAATATCTATTTAAAAAAAGATTTTTAAATGAATCAAATTCGAAAATGTTGTAATAAATAAAGAATCAAATTCCGCATTTATGAAAGTTAATATTTACATTAAATTATTTTTGGTTTAAAGAAAATACTAAAATCAAAAAGCACATCCCATTAATGATTGAAAGAATTAATTATTATATTATAATTTAAATGCGGGAAATATATAGGAAATTTTGGTATAAGAATAATTAAAAAACAAAAATGAAATAATTCAAAATAAATCAATGGTACATTTTAATTGATATATTTCAATTGAATTATATTGCAAACCTAAAAGCTTTTGCTGATTGATTTTTTTTATTACTACTAATTAATTTCTGTTAAACATATTGTTGTTTTCTCAAACATTGACGGCGTATTTTACTTCATCAATTAAATTTCCACTTCTATTTTCATCTTTTCTAAATTACTTCATGCAATATTTTATATTATTGATTGAAATAATTTAATGTTTCATTGAAAATTTTTATTGACCATTTTAATTTTGAAAAACAATATATTTTATAATTGAGGATTTTGGAGGAAAATTTTAATTTGAAATAAATTGAGAGAGAAAAAAAATAATTGAATACTTTACATATCATCATTACAGTATCCCATTATTTGTTATCTTAGTTTCCAATATTTCATATGATAATAGTAATAATAATGGTAATAATAGTAATAATAATAATAATAATAATAATAAAATAATAATAATAGTAATGATAATATTCATCTGAATTAAACATAACATTATGTATTCCAATGTGTATTTGTATATGTATATATATTCTCGTAGTAATTAAATTTCAATTTTTTCATCTTTTTTTGAATTGATTTATTTTTCACCTGCTCCACATAATTTTGCTATTTCATTTATTTGATGTATTCTTTCAATCGGAACATTTCAAGTTTACTGTTTAAATTAACTAATTTATTGAATTGGATATATTTAACATAAGTTTTTATTCATGTCCTATTATTTATTTTTTATTAACGCTACCATTGATAATGATGATAGATATGAATTATTATTATTATTAATATTGTTTATTATTATTGATATTAATTTATTATTATTATAATTATATTAAACATCATATTTCCATATAAAAGGTTAAATCAAATTATGATTTTCATAATTTGACATTTTAGGTGGAGTATAATAATAGTATGATGAATTTTACAAAAATGAAAAATCTCTTTCCTTTACTCATATGGTCATAGTTTGTACCTTATTTTTTGACTTCTATGTTTTTTAGTTTCATACTATTATAAATGCATAATTAGTACTTCTACTAATTTCTTTTAATGATAATTTTGAAATAATTTTATGTAGCAGCGTTTGATGTCTCGAATTTCGCCGCTAAAATTCGTTTGCCATAAAATTTGAATTTAGAAATTGAAAATTTTCGCGGAATTATCATCCGAGAAAATTGCTACACGATTGATATAATCGCTACGGAAGCATTTATCGTTTTCTGTGCTTTATTTTGAATCTGTCGCTGTCATCATTGAGCGGATTCTATCGTGCTTTTGTGGTTTCTACCGGCTTATTCGAAGATTTCTAATGGCTGCAATACCAGCTATTAAACTTGTCGAACCAATTAAGAAAGAAAAATCGAAAACTTTTCAGGTATATTTATATTTCTACATTTTCTTTTCCGTTTAAATGAGATTTATATTTCGATCAAGTGAACTTTTGCTCTTCTCCGGTAAGATCATCAAATTTTGATTGTATTATTAATGTTATATCGTTTAAATCGTTTTCTCACATTGTAGTTATTTCTTAAAGAGATTTCTGATTCATGATATTGCTTTCATTTGGAGTATCTCTTCTACTTTTGTAGTAAAAATTGCGAAATTTTAGCTATAAAATTTCCGTGCAAAATTTTGCTAAAAATTATAAAATAAAAAAAATTCCATTCTGAATATTTAATTGTTTCTAAGTAGGTAAGCAAAATTAAAATAGAAATTTCAATTTAAATGATAATCAAAGATAAAAAAATCCAAAGTGAATAACAATTCCTTGTTCATTTATAGGATAGAAAAATTAGGCGATTGAACATAATTTTATGATAATTAGATATTGCATAGATATTTGAAAGAGTTGAATGAATTGTTTAATTTTAATTTTGCTCTCTTTAGGCTTATTTGCCAGACGGAGCGCGTACCTATAGCTGTGTACATTGTCGTGCCAATTTGGCTAATCATAACGAGCTAATTTCAAAGGTGAATTCTTTTTCATTTTTCCCATTCTGCAAATTACATTTCTAAAATTAGTTCCTCTTTCTTTTTTGAATTTCAATTTGCTTATTTATAAAATTGATTTCTTTTATATCGTAGAATTTCATCATTTCCGACTTTTCTTTTCCTTCCTTTTTTCTGCTTTTCTTACCTTTTTTTCAATTGTTGTACTTTTTGTTAGATTGCAAAAAACTTTAAAGAAAATTTCATTCCTCTTTTTCTTGCAGTCTTTTCAAGGTAGCCAAGGGAAAGCTTATTTGTTCAATTCCGTGTAAGTTCTTTTTTTTAGCATTTTCATTTATTCAATCTTTTCTTCCTATAACTTTTGCGCGAAAATAATTTGCGAAATTTAATGTTTGAAATAATTTGAAAAAAATTTGATAGTGCACTTTCAGAAAGTTTTTCAATATTTTTTGATGATTTCATCGTAATTTCAACACTCAACAATCATTATGATACTACTATTTGATATCCATTTGAGATCTTAATTAGCATATTATTTTGATGAAATATTTGCTAATAATGAATCCTATCCTAAGAAATTCATTATTATTCGATTATTCGCGATATGCATAATTAAATGATATAAAAGTATTAAAAAAAAATAGTTACATAAATATTTTGTTTTATCATTTGCTTATCACAATAGCTATCATTTAATCATCTTCTTCATTTTGCTTTTTTAAAATTTTCTTTTAAAAGAATTTTGAAAAAATTTTTTATCTTAACAATGATAAAAAATAATATCCGCTTATTACAGCAATTAATAACAAGTATGATTGAAATGGTAAATGTTGGAGATTTTTAGGGTAAATATAGGATGTGGACCAGCAGAAGAACGTGTTCTATTAACTGGCCTTCATGCAGTAGCAGATATATACTGTGAATGTTGCAAAACAACACTTGGCTGGAAATATGTAAATTTTTCATTACATATAAAAAATATATGAATAAACATATATAATATCAGAATACTTCAATTATAATTTTATATAATTTTAGAAGCATGCAATGAAATTAGTCAAAAATATACAGAGGGTAAATTTATCATCGAATTCGTGATAAAAGATAAAAAGATAATGATAGGAATAAGCGTGCATTATATATATAATTAGTAAACATATATAATATCAGAATATTTCAATAATTTTAATGACATATTATTATATTATGTATGTATGCATATATATAATTTTAGGAGCATGCATTTGAAATTAGTCAAAAATAAAGGAGAAAAAATTTATCATCGTATTGACACATATGATAAAAGATAATGGTTGGGATAAGCGTGCATTTACATACATGAAATATATAAGTAAACATATATAATATCAGAATATTTCAATCATAAATTTTAAATGACATATTTTTATATTATGTATGTATATATATATATATATATATATGTATAATTTCAGGAGCATGCATTTGAAGTTAGTCAAAAGTATAAAGAGGGTAAATTTATCATCGAATTGGCACATATGATAAAAGATAATGGTTGGGATAAGCGTGATTTCAAAAGGAATATCAACACTCATTAATTGATATCTATTTTATAAAATTAATAAAAATGATAACAGAAATGATATGTAAAAATTGAGTGAAACGAAATCAATTTCTTCTTTGCATTTATTTCCTTATTCTTCATATCATAAATTTCTTAGAATTTATTGTAAATTCCACTATATATTATATTTTGTTTTCCTCTTCTTCTCCTTCTTTATATTCTTTCTTATCAAGTTTTATCAATCATTAACTGCTGCTATTTATCTTATCAATCACACGTATAGTTAAAGGGAAAGGAAAATCATTTAGGTAAAAAGAAGCACTCTATTTACATAGGAATTACTTATTTTAGTTAATTTATAGGATAGCTTCTTTTGTAAAACATTTACATATAATAATTATTAATGAATACATTTATACAATTCTAATGATCAATTTGTACATTCTTAGAAGCCAATTTTATAATTAAAAAAATTAGAGGCATATAAAATTTTTGGAAATTTACCTCAATTTTATGTTCAGGAATTTCATTGCAAAATTTTTTGAATTTAAATTTCAATTAGAAGCTTCTTTTTCTTTTTCATATGTTTGAAGAAGGATGAGAAAAGTAAACGTTTCAATGAAATGAAATTGCTTATGTAATTGGTATAACTTTATTAGGCATTATTATAGGCAATTAGCAACTTTCACGTTACGCTAAAAAAAAATTTTTCATAATGCCTTTTGCATATATATTAGATTTAATGAAGAAAGAAAAGGAAGTAATGATAGTAAAAGAGTGAGCTGAAATGAAATCCTAAAGAAAATAATTTTGTTGTAAGATGTCGAAAAAGAAAGAAGAGATATAATTTGATTTAATCGATCATACCGTATGCAAATTAATGCATCAAAAAGCAAAATAATACTTTCTTTCTTTTTATTTTCTTCCTTTTTGATTTGTCGAAAATTCTTCTTTCATTCTCTCTTTTTTTTTCGCTTTTAACAAAAAACTAAAGCGAAAGTTAAAAATGTAAATTTGAAGATTTTAAAATTGAATTTAGCAATTCGTCTTGAATATGTGATTAAGAAGTTTAGCATTTTATGCAACTTTGTAATTGAATTTTATGCGAAAAAAAAATGCAACTTTTCTTATTCTGATGTTCAAAATTTCATCGGTTGATCTCTTATCTTATCATCTTTTTGCATATATACAAACATGTACATGTAAAATATATAAATTTTCTTTTTCGTTGATATAATTTCTCTTTAATGTAAATTTGGGAAAAATGTACAGTACTATATCAACTACAGTATATCCAATACAGTACTGTCAAGCTTAGCGAATATATGTAAGTCATCAATATTCCTCATGCTTAGCATTATCCATCTTAATATGTTCTCAATTTACTCATGTTTATACATTATAATTAAAATTAGCTAAAATTTATGAAGTATCAAATTAGAAGATAATTTTTGGGTATGATATTTAGACAAAATGGGACAAAGTCATTGCATAATGTCATATCCGCATATATTGTAATAGAAGTCGCTGCAAAATTGTTGCTTTTGATATTGCAAATGATTGCTGCAACTGTTTGTTAGCAAAATTACCATCAATTTTTTATGTTCAGCTCATTCATCATTTTTAATTTTGTCCTTTCATTACATTTCCTTTCATTTCAAAAGCGTGTGTTAAGAATTATCAATTTAAACTTCTTTTCCTTTCAAATTTGAAACTTGTTTTATTTTCTGTTTTTCTCACATAACAAACTTCACATTATTCGAGTAAGTTCTTAAGTTACAACAATTGTTTTCCTATGTTCTCAAATTTTTGATTTTTTTGAGTTTAAAGTTTTGCAGTAATAGATGATTCTTTATGGCTAATGTTGCTAATTATTTCCCGTAATTTTTACCATTTCATTCCAATACGTTAAGAACTGTAAAAACATTTGAACAACTTGAATGTACGCAATTAGATAGCTTAAGTCTTAATTACGATTGTCTACCAAATATATCGTTTAAAATTTCCGTTTACTGAAACAACAGATCATTCGTTGATAAAGAAACATTTTTTGTTTATTAGGATTAAGATAACGTATGACGTACGAAATTTCATAAATTGCAAAATATTTGTTAAGGTAATGAAATATTACTTTTGTAAAAAAACCAATTGATTATAAGTGCAGAAAATTTAGGGAATCTTTTTCTTCTTTTTTTATTATGATTTCGAATAATTGTACAAATATATAACTTACAATTATATACATATATACTATACGTTTTCTTAAATTAAATAATATAAGATTTCACGTAAGGAATTCTCGTGAAATATATCACTTGTACGTGAAATTGTGAAATTATTCATTTTGTACAAATTATATTATTTTTCTGTTTCTTTTTCCTAAAGCTCTTGTTTAATTACGCAAAACATTCAAGCGCAATATCATTTCATGCATTTCCATCATTTATGCTGTACATATGCTGTGCATTTTATGCTAAACTGTTGTCATTATCATTATCATTATTATCATTTTTAGGACAAACAAATGCTATCGTTGCTTTCTGGGACTTTTTTTTTTTAGGAAAAGAATTAAAATTCGTGCATCAATTTACATTTGCATATCCTTTGTATGTATGACAACACGTGTTATTTTCATTACGACAATTCATTTGTATTTTTATAAACAAACATAAAATTATGCTAACTCAAAATGGTTGTGTGTTTTTTTCCAATTACTAAAACTACACTTTGATATATATTTAAAAAGGAATGATACAAATAATAAATAAAGGGAAAATATATAAATGGAAAAGATTTGAAAAAGCAAATTTTCCTATCCGAAATATGGATAAATTAGTCAATTTCAGGAAATCAAGAAATACAATGTATTCCGGAAAATATGCTATGTATGTGAAAAAAAGACGAAGTTTAAATGTTGTAACTTTTTAAACTTTGCTAGCAAAAATTTACTTTTCTAAATCATATATGATAGTCCAGCAGTATGATTTATCAATTTTATGCTAATGAATAAGATATGGCTGAAAATTTATTAAATACATAATGATATGATTAATTTAATACATAGATATAAGAGATGGGAAAATTCATTAAAAATATTCGTTTTCTATTTACAATTAGCAAAACACAGTAATATGTCAGATTCACTATGTATTTCAATTAATTTTTTATACCTTCAAAAGTTAACTTTGCTTAAATTATTTTTATCATTAAATGCGAAATTCTAACTATGCTCGTATCTCTACATTTTCATCGTACTTCAATTATTTCATTTTTAAATAATTTCATTGAATTATTACCCTTTGAACATAGATATCAATGATTCCTGAAATAGTCCATCTATTAAACAATAATTGAGCAATTCTTAGGTCATTCCGAAGTATGCATACATATTGCTAGTGGTAACATTTAAATTATATATCTGTAGAAAAGTAAAACTATTCGTTATTAAATAGTCGCAAACTATTCGAAACTTTCAAACTATTCGCAAACTATGGAAACTATTTGAATAATGGAAGGTAAAAATTGTTAATGTGAATTTTTCGTATCATTCTTCATTGAAAACAAACTTCTCATATCCACGAATAATTCCAGCATACCAGCAAGATATGAAATATTTAATAGTTAGTACATTAGACTGACAATTAATTAATATGAAATCGATCAATCTTTTATCATAATCTCATTTTAGCATATTATTAGATTAATTCATATTTGAAAGTAAGTATTAATAAAACAAAATCTATATATTTAGGTAATTTATTTCAGAATTCTGTTTTTAATTCTTTGTATCACTTTTGCTAACGATTGATCTTTTGGTAATTAATTATTTTGAGGTGATATTTATAAAACGATAATAAATAATAGTGATATTATAATATAAGATCAGTAATTATTATAGTTAAGATAAAGTTTTAATTTTGGTATATTTTCCTGTAATCATATTTTTTATTCGTTTTAGCACGCGACACATTTTAAAAAAAAATTCGTCGTCGTATATTTTATTATTCGAATATTTATTTTCTGCAATTTCATTTTGATTTTCACCTAAATTATTTCCTATATTTATCTGAAGTATTAACTATGAACATATATTTCATAACTTTTCACATTAACTATTCATATACTTCGATTATTTTTATTGCCAAATTTCAAATCGTCAAAAATTGCTTAAAATTATCAAAAAAAAGAAATCGAAATAATTCATAACAAATAAATGAAAATAATAAAAATAATTTATATTATAAATATTTCGTACTTAAGTGATTCATTGTAAAAATTGTAATTTTTAATGAATGTTACAATATTCAATATAATGAATCATTTCGTTAATTCTCGTGCGATTACTATGATTATCTTATCTTTATTGGTTAAATTACGAAAACCAATTCACATACAAAATATTTCCGGTCTGATAACTTATCTTATTTCAATCATTATAGTGTAATCGGATCTTTCCTTTACACAGTTTTTCCTTTTTTATGTTCACATACCCATCCATGTATCCAATAGAATTTTATCAGAACGTTTGTTGTAAATCATTCATGCTCTATATCTTATGATATATACAGTTATGCGTGGGATAGGAAAAGATAAAATTCAATTATATCAAATCAAAGCTTTCCAAAAACAATCTAATTGACATTAAATATCGGAAACCTGAAATAACCTTATAGTATGAAACTATTTCCATAATTAAAATATCCTAGTTACGTTAAAAAAAA